TTTTTTTGAATTCCGTTGATCTTGCCTTGTTCCGGGTTTTAATATTTATGCTAGTGCCTTTTTTAACTATCGTTTCGGTTCGATAATTTTCAAGTGTTTTTATTTAGATTAATAAGTTTTCATTTTATTTTATCATTTCCCCCGTATAATTAGGTATGAAATATATTGCGTTATTTAACCATTGGTTTTGTTTATATTAGTTAATTTAGGAATTGTAATTATTTTTAAAAAATTAATACAATAATTTTGGTATTTTTTAATCTTATTTTTCTTGTCTAAATTTGCAAATTTTTTTATTCTATTAAATGTTATTTTTCTACTATTTTTTTTTTTTTTTAAAGTTAAGAATACCTTTCTTTTTTCTCTTACTTTATGCATTACACTTTTTCCTTGTAATTCGGGTTCGATAAAACATCGATTAACGACACTTTTTGGTCGATCCTGAAAACCGGGAAATTCAGACATCCGGGATAGCGATGGTCCCGAGCATCACGGATAATTGATTCTCTACTGTAATAAACAAATTACAATTACCAAGATTTCCCCTATTCCCTAAAACGACGCATTTTACGGATTTACTTTGCAAGATTTTCCCTAGCATATATCGAGAAGCACAATGGTTTCATGAGCATTTTGATAAACTTTCTCTGTCTCTAATAATTAATAAATATATTTTATACCCTCCTTCCTTGCCTAAGACCTGTTTTTATCCTTCCACTAGGCAACTACATTATGTACTTATGTATACAAACATATATATATATATGTTTCATATTATATAAATTAATATACATAAATGCTTCATATTTAACTGTCATTTTTTTCTTTTTTTGATAAATGGTCTAGAAAATAAAATTTTTCAATACTAAAAATTTATGCATTTCAAGGCCAGCTTTGTTAACAATTTTTTTACATTGTTTTAAATTATGTTATTTTGCACGACTAAATATAAAATTTCAGCGAAATTGGTTGAATAGTTCTTCTGAAATCGAATTTTATATATACGCCTTTCTAAAAATTCGATTTCTCACGAAATATTGAACCAATTTTGCTTAAATTTTGTATTCTATGTAAAATTACATACTTTAAAATGACTAAAAAAAATTTATACCTAACAATTCAAAATTTTTCTCATCCGTCATTGAATAAAATAATAAATCTTTACTAAAATAAATTTTTTTCACCAAATTAACTTTGGATAAACGAATTTCAAATTGAAAGCAAAAATTTTTTAAATCGCTTAAAAAATTCGAGATATGACGAAATACACAAAAAATAAAATTTATATTATGGGGTCCAAACTTTGGATCATTCTTCTGACCAAACTATGGGGACCATATTTCCCCGATTACGACTACCCCCTATATTTTGGGGATCAGAAATCTGAATCCGCTGAAGGAAGAAAAAATTGACTGATGTTTATTCAGAGAAAGTATGCTTTCGTGTCTAATTTCATAACTTAAGAGATTGTATGCACTAACTAATTAGCATATCACTAATTAATCACCAATCACTGCACTAAGTAATTAGCATACAATCACCCTCTCTAATCATATCGATTGAGTCCTAAACGGTGAAGATCCAATCATTAAATCAAAAGTTATTCAGGGTTGTCCTTTTTTTCCCCTTTTGTTGCACTATCAATCATACATTCCGATGTACAGTACAATAGGAGAATACTAATTTCAAGATCTGTTTCTTAGAACATTTAAAAATAAATATAATTTGTTTGAAACAAAAAATGAAATAGGATAAATAAGAATTAATAAGACACTTAAAAAAAAAATCAGTAAGAATTAAACTAAAAAAAATAATAAATTGATTTTACTTCATAAGAGCTTTCATCCTCATCTTCATCAGGAATGGGATCTTCCCAAGTTGGGTTCATTCTAAAATTAAGTAATTAATCTCATTAATTAGTAATTCTGTAATGTTAAAGTTAAATAATTGACATAAATGAGGATCTTAATTAAAAAATAATGTAATCAGATTTTCTGAAAACATTTATATCAATATACATATCATAATAAGACAGCAAGAGGAGAGGCAAGAGGATCAAAATTTGGTTCCCTTAGGCTGAATTTTTTCGGGCTCTCTGCAACATACCTCTCTAATATTAATATCTTTCTATGAGATACTTAAAAATAACAAATATACATATTAGTAATTTAAAGTAACAGAAGCGTTACCTTAAAAAAATTAGTATATAAATAAAAACATTGGTAAAAAAATAAATATATAAATAAAAACAGTAGTAATAACTGCATGAAAAAATAGAACAAAAATTTATACAAAAAAGGAAACCAAATTTTTCACTTCACCATTCTTTACTTTTCATTATTCTTAAATAGGAATAGAAAAATCATAAGCATTTTTTCCCACTCCGATGTAAGAGAGAGAAGAGCTTATCATTATGTAGCTTATCATACACAGATACTATATATACATAAAAATCACAATTTTGAATTTTTTTAATCGCTTAAGATTATTTTTTTTATCTCATACTACGAATTTAAAAAAAGTTTTTTTATCGCATTTTATGTAGAAATTTATTTTTTCATGCTATTCCTAACTAATAAAAATTTCCCGAGTTAATTGTTATACAAACTTTGAGCCAGGAAATAAATTGTTCACAAAATATGTAAGGAAAGATACAGTTTCATTTGTAAATTCATAAATTGATAGACGTTCAGTATTGTAAAAACACAATTACTGCGATTTAATACTAAAAGAACATAAAAAATATGTATATAAAATTTAAAACAAGCAGGCTAAATTTCAATTCCAAAGCAAAAGTTGGTAAAACACTCATAATATGGAACTTGATATTTTTAGTGTATTAGCTTATAGCTTTCCTTGATATAAATACAAATACCAATCTATCTATTACGGTCCCGCAGTGGATTAATCGTTAAGACACGGTTCCCAGCAGATCACCGAAGTCAAGCATCACTGGCTACGATCAAAATGCGGGTGCGTGACCACTTGGATCAGCCTGCGTAGGGACCGAGGGTGTGCGGTATTGGTCCTCGTTAAACTGTTCTACCGTAAAGTGCTCGACTTCGCGTGCAAGTCGTCGAGCTACCGAAGCAGGAGTGTCATCCCCTCTGCGGAGGATCAAAATTGTGATGGCATGTTTTCGGATCATCCTCCGGGATGTTCCCCAGACCGTCGCCAACAACAATCTCTCTCTACGAGAACAATCTCATAGCATGCGTTTAGTCTTGGCGAACACAGCTCTCCAGTACGCCATCTGGGAAGAGCATTGATTCCATGTCTTGACCCTTCTCTAGGATTCGTACATGTCTTAAAACAGTACATTCATATATTTTAAAACATTGTCCCACAATGGCGTGAATATGTGAAAGGCCCGGAGATCAATCCCCCACTATTCCAGTTCTACAATTTTCAGTCATGTCGGAATACTGCGAACCATCTTTATTCAGCTGGTTAACTTCGGGTAGAACTTTAATATCTTCATTCTGCAACATCACGTAAACTCACCTTCTACATTCAATTACCATCCTATTAGTACGGAGGTGATCTTATTGGCTGGGTACTCCTTCACACATTTTCTAGTTTCTGCAGTTTTCAAAAGTGGTCTGATCGTACACACACACTGTTTTATTTTTTACACAGTATACATTCATTTGAAGTATAAGTCAATATAGCTGATAATAGCTGGAGATGTTTTCATTTTTATATACGCAGATAATTTTGCTGGTTGTTGTCCATAGCAAAATAAAGTGAAATGATGTTCACTTGTTGCATTTATTATCAGACATAAATGAAAATGTCTTCCTATTTGTCCTCTTTCGTATAACTTTGTTAATTTTAATAACAGAAAAATGCATTTTCCTCAAGCAAATTTTTGCCGTTATATCTGGAATCTAATATTTTTTAAATAATACATGGTATTCCTTTTTAGTGGTCAAACTAAATCAATGACTTCATGACTTTTACCTCTTTAACCCCTTTCTGCTTAGCGTTATTATTCTTCTGAGGGAAGAAAAAACTCTCAGAAAGAATCGTATCTTTTCTTTCTATTTCAAAAGAAGATAGATCTAAACTTATGACTACAAATCAAAAAATTTCTTTAACAGGCTACATTTAAAATTTTTTGAATTTTTAAAATAAATAATAAGTAAGAAAGAATAGATTTTAAATTATACTAATTTTTAAAAAATGTATTTCCCTTTTTTTTGAATTCCTTTTCGATAGAGGCACCTGCCCGACTGTCCCAACACATCCAGTCTACGACTTTCACCACCCAATTTTCTGACATTGAATGTTTGTTTAGGATGAATGCTCCAATTCTTTCTTTATTTTTAAGTCTATGTAAGCTGTAACTCCATGAATTAGGAAAGAAGCGAAGCGAAGCGACATCCTATTAAATTCTATTGGTGATATTTGCGGCGTGTGTAGGTTATATGTGAAAAATGGTAAGAAATTTAATAATTTTCCTTAATATTTGATTATTAGTAATAATTAATGATTTTAAATTTTTTTTCTTACAACTTAGAGAGTTTGTACTGTATACATTTAAATGATGTTCTTACCTATTATAAAAAGATATTACACGTGGCTAATATTGTAAAGTTTTAGCGTTTTCAAATGCTTATATTATATTTTCCTCCTCTTGTTTATTTCTGAGGTAAATATATTTATCTGAAACATGTTCAATTATTTGTAATCTATTCTCTGCTTAAATCATTAAAACTTTCAAAACATCCAGGGATTGTCATACTGGGTCAGTGGATTTTAACGAAACTTTGTGAGACTGATCTATCTATTGCTGTAAGAACGCTTTCAAAATTTTATTTCATTTCGTCTATCATATTTATGAAGTGTATCTTCTAAAAAGTTATGTCAAGAATATGTAAAAAGCGATGAATTGTTTTCTTAATAAACTTGTGTACTCATGCAATTTTTGCTGTAAAACTCATTATTAAAGGTAGTATTTTTGCAATGTGTTCATGATGAAATTGTGCTTACAAATATAGATGCATGTTGTGTTATAAAAACAAAGTTATTTAGATAGCTTAAAAAATTAATGAACATAATTTTTTGTGAATCTGAATTTGTCAGACTAAAACATTAACATAAGTCTACCTATAAGCCTATTACAATTCCTTCCAAAACTAGATGAAGAATCTTATAAAATAGTTCGTTAAAATCAATGGGGTTGGAATCCTAGATTTTGAGCAAGTAAGAGTAACATGTAGAATATTAATTTTATCTTTCAGCTTATAAAATAATTATAATATCTTAATATATATAATGATAATTAATTTAATATTACGTTTTGCAATGATTAAAGTTAAATTGAAGCTGATTTCTCCTTAAGAATAGAATGGTGCTTCTTTAGAGAAAAAGGTTTAGCACTGTAGCAAATAATATAAAAAAATTTAAGTCTAAACATACTTAGGTTAACTAAGAAATTTTTTATTTAGTTTTAATTAAATAATTACAATTTATTTCTTCCATATAAAGCTATATATATTCAATTTATGATTTGAAATTGAGTGGATGAATTAAGTTTCTTAATAGTAGGAATTGAATGATGTATTTAAATTGAATTGCTTATAGTAAAATTTGAAATAATGACTAACTTCAATCAATTTAGAAAATCTAATTTTGTATTTTGTCTATCCTTATTTAATTAATGAATTCATATTTGAAAAAACCAAGTGTCATTCACTAAGAATTGAAAAAAATTTATTTGAACATGAGTGGATCAATAAAAAGTATTCTATTAACCATTGAAAATTTGTGAAAGAATTAAAGAGTGAACTAATGCTAGTAATTGAAGAATTAATCAAATGTGTAATGTTAGGAAATAACTGAATCCTCAACAATTTGTAAATCACCGTCTTATACTATTGTATGCGTGTATATCTAAAAGTAATACTAATTATCAAAATAAGATTAAGTTTTGTAGTTTATAAAATTAATTAAAAAATAATTATGAAAAATTACTGTGCACAAGTTTTTTTTTACTAAAGTGTAATCTAATTTACATTAACAATTACAATTTGAAAGCTTCTTTTCTATAATTTAAAACTGAAAATTAATGTGGCAATGAATGAATGATAATGGTGCATTTATTTATAGAAGGTATTTTTATAGATAAAGATATTAATTCATATATATGCCCCTATCTGATAAAAACGAAACTTGTTAAAATTTAACCAGTTAAGAATACTATCAAAATAAATATTTCTTAAAAGAGTCGGAAATATTTAGGGAGAAGAGAACACTAACTAAAGCATTTATATATATAGATGGTTGACTGAATGTAATCCATAACAAGCTTCCTAAAACTTGGAGAAATTTAGAAAACTTCCAGTATATCTCTCCGCATTTGAGTCTATGTGTGTAAACAGGCTTGCTCTTTTTTTATATATCTGCATAAATCAAATTCACCATTCGAAAAATTATTTTGTTATTTATAAATTCTAACTGGCGGTGAGCTTGAAACAAATATACGAAAATCAGTTTTATGGCCTAAATAATTAAGGTTTTCAGTGTTATGCCTTATTTGGCTATATTTGTGTGAAATATCGCCAGTTATTTTTAAATTTTTTTTAGTTATTTTTTGTTAGATAATTGTTTCCAGTTTTATCAAAAATATGAAATTTTTTCAAAAGAAATGCGGGTTTTGTCATATAACTTAGTATAAAAAATCATTTTTTGACAAATTCAAACTTTTAAAAAAAAAAAAAAAAAAAAAACTTGATCTTCGCTGAAAGTATAAAAAATAATTCAATAAATACTTATTTTTGAGTTATAAAAATTCATCTATCTCTTTTGCTTTAAAAGTGGCATCTGTCTATGCCTTTTGTATAGACTATGAGATGAATGATTATAAATTAAGTTAAATGATTATTCAATAATATGATACACAAACACATTTATTTATTGAGCATTATTTATTTAGGATATTGCTTTGGTAAGTTCTCAGCTTTTCTGACTTTCATCTTCTAGTTTTCAGCAAAACCAAATACAGTACACTCTCGATTATCCTTTCGCAGATTATCCGGTTTGTGGATTATCCGTGCTCATTCCGGAGTCAACAAAAAATTTTAAGAGAAACATTTTCAAGATTAAAAAAATTTGATTCAGGAACTTATAACACTACCCAATTTCAACAATATTCGTTATTGAATTGCTGTATACGGAATATCAGCAGCATGGTCAAAGGTAAAATCGTCAACGTCATCACGATCATGGAGAAAGATGGTACCCCTTGTTGAACAATCTTCAGATATTCAAGAATAATATAATGATAGTATTCTTGAACAAGCAAAAGAAATCGAAGGTTTCGAAATTCTTGATGAAGAAAATTTAGAAGATAGATTTCAAAGTGATGCATTTGAGCCTGGCTTCCAGTATTTGACAGATGAGGACATTGTTATGTTGTTAAATCAAATAATGATGATAGTAACTGATGCAGAAGATGTAGTAAATGATGGAAATACAATATCTCATTTTGCTGCTCTGTGGAAACTTTATTAGTTTATATGGGAGTAGTATTTCATTACGGTGACATAAATGCAGTTCGTAAAATATGCGACAATATATGGCGCATTACACATTTTTTTAAAAGGAAAATTTCTAGTTTGATGTTATGCAGCATGCAAATGTCAGTAATTTTCATTTTTTTGTATTGATATTGGTTTTTTCTTTAATAAAATGAGCTTTCAGATTATCTGTGTTTTTCGATTGTCCGTGCGACCTGTCCCGATGATTAACCCGGATAATTGGGAATGCACTGTATTACTTTTATTTCATTTAGGTATGTTAGCTGTTATCTCTTGATCTGAATTTTCTTCTTTTTTTTTACTGAAGATATAAATTTGAAAATTATTGGGTTAAAAAATGCAAAACTTTTTGGAACTGTTTGTAATCAAATTGTTATTCTGTGTGACAGGTCCTTCACTATTTTAAGTCTTTAAGTGCCAATATAGTTAAACATTTAAAGTAAAATTAAAAAAAAATTCCTTATTAATCTGAGATGAATATATTATTGCTGATTGTTCTACTATAGATTCAAAACATAATTTAAATAGTTTCACTGTTTTATTCTATTGTTTCATGTTAGCAATTGATTTAGATGCCTAAGATTACATTATTAAACTTTTTGTAGCTGAAATTAGATTGAACTTCAGCTTTTAGAAGAATAATTTAATATTAAAAGCAAAGTATGCCTAAAATATTATAATAGTGTTGTCTTGTATATAAGTTTTTGTTACGTAAGGATAATGTCGCATCAATGTTTTTATTTTAATTATGAGTTTATTTTAATCATGTTTTCCATTTTAAGAGCTCGCAAGAAACCTTTCGCCATTATGTGCAAATTGGACGAGTGGCATATATTTCCTTTGGTAAGGATGCTGGAAAACTGTGCACTATTGTTGATGTAGTTGATCAGAACAGAGTAAGTTTAATTTTTTTTTTTATGTCTTTATGAAGTTGTTATATGTTTTGTCTTCTGTGTCAGTCTTTAAAAGAAACTTGAAATCGAAAAATAATTGTTAAAATTTCCTTCTGTGCTGTTTTTAGTATTGCAAAGTTAATAGTTGTATATGTAGAATGCAACTAGGACTAATGGCACAGTATGATGTGAGATTGTGTCCTACCATAATTGTTATTGATTCAAGGTTGTCACATGAAACTTATATTCAACTTTTTTCGACTTGGTGACTATTTTTGGCTGGGGAAAAAATAAAAAAAAAATTCTGGAAAAAGAGACTTGAGAAACTTTTCTGTACTCTTAATTATGTTTTTTAGCATAAATTGGGTTGACAACCTTCTGCCCAGGGGAGCTTTTAAACACAATGCATTTTTTTTCTGCAATTCAATTTTAAGTGCCCAATTTGCACACATTATATTGTAAGTCTATTTTGTTCCTCAATCACCTTTTAAAATGGTTATTGTGTGAAATTTTGCATGATTTTAAAAAACCGATTTTATATATATATGCAATATTACGATATGTGAATTTCGAGTTGAAGTAATCACTTTCACAATATTTGCTTAGTCGATTATTGATAAAACAAAATTTTTTTTAGAAAAAGTATGTTTTTTTTTTTAATGAAAAAGTATTTTTGAAGGAATTCTAGTAATTAAAAGTATATATTTTTTCTAAAGACCGACAGAATTCAAGAAATTCAGTTCATCTGCTTATAGTAGTGTTTCCCAAACTTATGACTTCTGTGTACCCTTTCTGAATTTTTCGTAACGCTAATAAAAGAAATTACAGTGGAACCTGTTTAAATTGACCACCCTCGGGACCAAGTCAAATGGTCAATATATAGGGGTGGTCACTTTATGAAGACTCTTTAAAAAGGACTCTTTAAATAAAACTTGTAGAAAATGGTCACCTTACTCAGGTGCTCACTTTACCCAGGTGGTCACTTTTACAGGTTCCACTATGTATTTTTTACTATAAAGAAATTGCACAAAAGTTAAGTCACAACTGGCTGTTGACACCACTAATTATTAACTGTTAACTCTGCAAAAAGTAGCCAATAGAAAAATACGTAATCGTTATTTTCATGACTAGCTTTGATTTTAAGTTTTTGAAATTTTCGTTTGTTGCAAGATACTTCGCATAGGAACACGTACCCCCCTGAACTGTTCCCGTACCCCTGGGGGTACGTGTACCACAATTTGGGAAACACTGGCTTATAGGAACAAAGTGAAACACTATGGAAAAAATGTATCAAGGGAGAGAAAAAAAAATTTGGTCTAGAATCCAATTTGGAACTCTTCCTAAAATCTTGAGTTAAATAGATTTGTATAATTCAATGTGTAATAAGTAGTTGTAAATTTATAGAAAGCTAACATTTTTTAAAATTCATGTTTGTAATAAAAATTAAGAAGGTCTGTAATAAACAGGGTTTAAAAAATACCAGCTAACCTAGGTTTTTATCAAAAATCTGGGGTTTATTGAGTAGTTTTTTCAGAAATACTTTACATTTTTATAGCTTTAGATTGTTATGCTATTATTTCTTAATGTTATTATTCTATTTCTTGAAGATAAGTAGATTGTTGCATAAAAATTTGAATCTATTCAATTAAATCTACTCAATTTAAATCTCCTAAAAGATCCCAAAACTTAAATTTTAATTATCTGGAACTAATTTTATGTAAATCTCATCATAAAAGTAAATATAACACATTTGTTTAATAATAATTTCAAAATGGTTTAATTAACCATTTTCAAAATGTTTTTCGTGAATTTTTTTCCCCTTCTTTTTTTTCCTTTCCCAAAGCATTTTCCGCTAAGATAACATTACAGGTTTGCTTTATAATACAACAGGGTTGCCACTCTACATGGAGAACAGGGAAAACCTGGAAAATGCAGGGAATTTTGATTTTTTCCTTGCAAACTGGGAAAATACAGGGAATTTTGTTTCTTATTTTTGTCTTTTAAAAAATGGTACCCACTCAAAGCGTAATCTATGGGATATTTAGCCATGATATTTCAGCTATACTAAACTATTTCACTTACTATAACATTATTTAAATATGTTCAGCTGTTTTCCCACCAATTAAAACTAATAAATATAGTTAGCCCTATATAGCTCACAAAAGAGCACAGTAATTGTTGTTTCCTTTTAATATATTGTGTATAATAGTTCAGGGAAAACACAGGGAATTTTTTATCCAGATTTGAGTGGCAACCCTGTACAAGAATACCACTTTCAGTTATAAAACAGTTATTAAGCTCAAAGATATGTATAGTAAGATAATAGCATAAAGTATCTGCACACAATCCAAAAAAGTATCTACAAGCTCAATATATTTAATTATTCTTGACAAAAATATGTATATTTGCATGTAAACTTGCACTTAAACATTAAAAACATTATAGAAAGATTAATATTAAGTTTCGCATGGAATTTCCTGTGAAGTAATTATCATATTAAATTCTATTAATAATTTCGCTCCAAACATTGTTAGTAGCAATCAAGATTTCCTACTGTCATCTATATTTGTTTTAAAGCTATAGTCGAGTTTATTTGTAGAAATCTAGCTGATTTTAGACTTGCCCGTAACGATGGCATTGCTAATCTTTGGGCTAAAGTGGCAGTTGCGTCTTTTCTCTTTGGGAGGAGCATACACACGAGTAAACGATTAGCTTCTTCTACCTTGCATGAATCATGATTATGTCGTCTGCTTCCTATTTTCTTTTCCCCCACTGAAAGCTGTTTTTGTGTGCCTGCGGTTACTTTGTTTTATATTACAATAAATATCAATATATTATGCGTAATTGTAGAATCACCACCAATGAAATTCGCATGTGCGTTATCTAACTATGAAGTTGTTTAAACTTATGTCTTTTTCAGGCTGTTGTGGATGGACCCTGCACTGGAGTAGATCGCCAAGCTGTGAAATTTAAGAGACTTCGTCTAACAAAATTCAGACTAAGATTTCCCCACAGTACATCTAGCAAAATTGTTCGTAAAGCATGGGAGAAAGAAGAAATCTCTAAAAAGTGGTCAGAAACTTCAACAGCTAAAAAGATGGCTGCCCGCAAGCTTGTGAGTCTTATTTTTCTCTATTTGTTAGACCATATTCTTCTAAGTACCCATATTTATTAGAGGTGATTATACAGTCAAACCTTGTCAGGGGTTTGTTTTATCCCACCCACTAACTCCACCAAAAAAAAAACCGGTTGGATTTTCTCAAAAAGATCCACTTTAAAAAAACCTATGAAGCCCAGGCTCAAATGGGGTTTTTTATTATTATAATCTAGATGGATCAATAAAGAAGATAAAGGAAAGATATATTTAAAGGATTTCATACTTATCTTAAATACTTTTATTTTGGAATTTTCAAATCTAACTATAAATACATAGTTTAAAGAATGATTCCTGAAACTGCTAAGATAATTGTTAAATAAACAATACTTCTGTAATTAGTTGGCCTGCGAAAGACTTGCTTTATGACACACAAAAAATAAAGCTATAACCAATGATTGTTTAATAATAAAACAGAAAACACCATATTTCTCTAATCCCAATATTATGATTTTCTTTTACTCAAGGAAAGAATTAAGTCTTTTATTAATACATAGCATGAAAAGATGGTATTTTAAAATTCAAATTAATACTTTTTATTTTAATTCATAAATTTATTTGTTAAAATTATTCTCTTTTAAATTAAATTATTGTTCTCTTTTGAATCATTTTAATGATAAATTAAATCTAAAAAGTGTTAAGCTATGTAATATCTTAAAAAGTCCAATAAAAACTTTTTTTTTTTTCAAACCCAAGTTAATAAAATGTTAATAGGATTGAAAAAATTTTCATGTTAAAAGCAGTTCGTGCATGGGTACCACTCTTCAGTCTTGAGGATTCAAAACGGTCTAGAGAAAGAATCCAAGGAATTGAATTCAATCCCCCATTTAATATATATAGCCATTTTTTTTTAATTAAGTTTTTGAAAGAAAAATTTTCTAATGAAAATTTTAAAAGTTCAGTTAAAGTAAATAATAAAAAATAAAAATAATAGATTAATTTTAAAATTTTTGTGACAAACCATGTTAATTGTTCAAAATGTTAATTGCTTTATGTGCATTTTCTATTGAGAAAAGATTTCTTTGTCAGAAACTAGTTATTTTACCATGATCATGTTGAGTCTTTGAAAGTTATTTTGCATTTTGTTAATGTATATAGCACTTAAAAGAAAATTTTATTTCTATATATTGCTTATTTTTTGTTGAAAGATTTGGCTACTTACCCTGTATATAGAACATGCAGAAGTAGCTGATTATAGGTTTAAAATTTGATCCAATTGCTGCTAATTGTATGCTACCTAATTTGAAGTCAAGTTGAGTTATGATGAACCTATATAGAAAGTGCCATCTGATCTTGGTGATTATATGTTTAAAATCTGATCCAACTTTATTAGAGTAGCCAGTTTTGTCACTTAGAAAATTCTTATTCCTGTGTACATATTTAAAGCTTGAATTGTGTGAACATGATGATCCTATATAGAAAGTGCCATCTGAACACTGATTATGATTTATAGATCTGATTCAAATCTGGAGTTGCTGATTGTACTAGGTTAAATTATCACACAAAAGAAAATAAATATATAAAGTGTTGAACTGGGGTGATTATAGGCTAAATTTATCAGTTATGCTGGCTCTGTTTTCAATGTTCTTTGTTAGTTATGCTACCTAATTTGAAGCTTAAGTGTACCTATGATGATCCTATATAGAAAGTGCCATCTGACTTCATGATTATATGTTTAGAAATCTGATCCAACTTAATTAGGGTAGCTGGTTTTGTCACTTAGAAAATTCTTATTCCTGTGTACATATTTAAAGCTTGAATTGTATGAACATGATGATCCTATATAGAAAGTGCCATCTGAACACTGATTATGATTTATAGATCTGATTCAAATCTGGAGTTGCTGATTGTACTAGATTAAATTATCACACAAAAGAAAATAAATATATAAAGTGTTGAACTGGGGGGTGATTATAGGCTAAATTTATCAGTTATGCTGGCTCTGTTTTCAATGTTCTTTGTTAGCTATGCTACCTAATTTGAAGCTTAAGTGTATCTATGATGATCCTATATAGAAAGTGCCATCTGATCTTCATGATTATATGCTTAGAAATCTGATCCAACTTAATTAGAGTAGCTGGTTTTGTCACTTAGAATATTTTTGTCCCTGTATGGGCATTAATTTAATGCTTGAATTGTGTGAACATGATGATCCTATATAGAAAGTGCCATCTGATTCTGTGATTATGGCTTATAAATCTGATTCAAGTCTAAAGTTGCTGACTGTACTAGATTAAGTTATATACATACAAAAGAAAATAAATATGTAAAGTCCAGAGTTTGCGTTGAAAATTTTTGATGCAGTTATTACTATTAGTGAGTTCAATTTGCTTGATTTCGGTAGTGGCTGTTTCGGATTTTATAATTTTTCTATTATGTTTTTAATGCGATAATGATTTTCAAAGTGCAAAAAAGTGTGTGTTTTACTCCTGCAAAATGTAATGTCACCCACAATATTAGAATTAAAGAAAAATTTCATATTATAAATTATTTTATTTGATCCAGGAATTTTTTTTTAGTTGACATTTCTGTTACTTTAGTTTAATAACTCATATATTATTTTTAAAAGTATCTTTCGGAAATATATTAGTATTAGAGGGGTTTGTGTATGCTACCTAATTTAAAGCTTAATCCTATGCTAAGCTGATGATCCTATGTAGAAAGTGCCATCTGATCTTGGTGGTTATGTTTAAAATATGATCCAACATTGTTGGAGGAGCCGGTTTTGTCACTTAGAATATTTTTTGTCCTTATATACATATTAATTTAAAGCTTGAATTGTGTGAACATGATGATCCTATATAGAAAGTGCCGTCTGATCCTCTGAATTTGGCTTGTAAATCTGATTCATATCTTGAGTTGCTGGCTGTACTGAATTATACAGAGTGTATAGCCCTTACAGGTGCTTTATTTTTTACTCTGGTTTTCTAAAGAGTGCTTAATTTTCCCTTTTCAAAGATGAGGCTCATTGTGTGTGGATTGTGATTCTAAGCTATGAAAAGTGCATGATTTTTCTCAATTTTCTGTAACTTTTATCAAAAACTAATTATTTTATCATGATTTAGTTTAGCATGATGAAGTTTATGAAATTAAGAAGAAATAGAAAAAAATTATTTTTATTTCTGCACTGATCCCAATTATGATTTTTTTTTTTGGAAAGTTATTAAAAATGTTTTTTGTGTGCTTAAAAGGTATTTATTTTTTGTTAAAAAATCTGACTATGTGCCCTGTTTATATTCTTTTGTATGCATATAATTTGAATTCAGTCAGACCTTTTCCTCTGCCATCTTGTAATTATTTTGTATTTTCTTAATGTTTATAGTGCTTAAAATTACATTAAAGGTGCTTATTTTTTGTTGAGAGCTTGGGCTATGCACCTGGATGAAAATAAAAGTATACTGGTATGTAAATTGTTCGTCTGATTCAGAAATATTTTAAAATGCCCTGTGGCAGAAACATGGCGACGTTGAAAGAGAAAATAGAAAGAATTTTCCTTTACGAAGTAAAAAAAGAAAAGATTTCTCATATATTTTAAAAGTTCTTTTTTTTTGCACATCGAAAGGAAAGACATGTTCTTTCTATTTTTATTTAAGAATGAAAAATAGAGAAAAACGAAGAACTTCTCTTCTACGGAGATTTTCATGATTTTTTTTTCTTTCTCCAGGATAATTATCTATCAATAATATTATGTGGCTAAACCTTTACTTCATTTTTCAAAAGATTCCTTTCACGCACATGTATTAAAGTGCTCATGTATTTTAGATGAGTTAGATTCTAAAGATATTGTCTTATAACATTAGTTTCAATTGTAATGTGAATCAGTATCTCAAATTAATTTTTGTGAGAATACCTTAGTTCATTATTTGAGATTTATAATAATGTGTTTTTAAAAAGGTTCATTAAAAATTTTAAGGCACAAAATATTATTCCAATGTGTGTAGCTTGTATTTTATTCCATTATAAACTTAATATCTAAAGTTGATTTGTTAATAAACACTTATAAAACATAACATAAAATGCACTTATGTTGTTAAATTCTAAATGTTTTAAATTGCTAAGTGTACAGCAATTTGGCCTAATTTTGTTCCAAAATAAGTTAACAATTTTTTAATATCTATGCAATAAAGATGATCACTTTCTTTTTCCTCTCTTTCTATGGTTGAGTTTATAATTTCATGTGATAAAATAATTAATTTAGAAAATTTTCTTTTCAGAAAACTGAGATGACTGACTTTGATAGGTTTAGAGTTTACAAAGCTAGACAACAGGTATGTCGGTTGACAATTTTTTTTATTTGCGCGTATGACAATTTTGTAGTTAAGCAGAAAGTTTTGTATATGTAATCATAGCTGCCAACTCTACTGGATTTTGCCAGTTTCTCCCAGTCTGCTGGTTTTTGTACATTTTAGAAAATTGAGTTTCCTAAAAATTCCCTAATAAAATGAAACATTTTGCATAAAGTAATGCTTGCTTTTCTAATGATATAATCTTTTTACTAATGAATTAAATACTATTAATTAGTATCCAAAGTTAAGGTACGGGTAACATTTCAAGTATATTTAATGGCAATCATATTGGAAAATATTAGTTTTTCTCTTTTTATGACTATAAAAATCCCTATATGTTAGATATTTAGTGCTTAATTCAACCAGTATCATAAAATTTATATTTTGTAAAGATCTACTGGATTTTTTCCTATCCATGTTGGCAGCTGCTTGTAATGTTAGAAAGGTAAGAAATTGTACGCTACAATATGAAACTCACTACTTTCTAAATCAGACATTATTTAGCACTGCTAACCAGGATTGAATTTCGCCAATTACCACCACCTATTTCTCACTTCTCCGGCAGCCTCAAGTTTGAGAGACTGCCCTAGAGTAGATAGAAGCTACCCTCCCTGAACACCCTGAAAAAAGTCTGATTATTATTGGGAGGTCAATGCAATATATGCAAATTATTTTTAAAGACATATTCAATTTGTCAGTAATATATCAAATAAATTAAGATCAGAAACCTTAAAGGATAAAATAATTCTACATTACTCTTACTCTTGGTGAAAAATCATTTTTCATTACCTTACACCAGAGGTCGCCAAAGTGGTCTATATAGACCCCCAGGGGTCTATTTAACAAAAGCGGGGATCGAAAAAACAAAACAGTTCTCACTACGCAAATCCCACATACCTAATTAAGTATGTAAAATTTGTGAATTTTTTAATAATTGACTCAATATCAGTTTCTTTATAAAACAAATTAATAAACGTATATTTATTGGGGTGAAACAAGTATTCACGTACCACCACGCAGTGGTACGAACTCAGCGCAGTTTATAAGTCATATGCAGGTGTGCGCTTGTCCAAATGTCAAGTGTGACGAGCATTGACATTACAAATGCAGATATCATACGCAATTTCAACTATCTTTGCAAACTGTGTTGATTATTTGCAGTGTCATTATTAAAACTTTTATAGTTTTGGATAATTAGTTATTGTTTTGATAGAATCATTTGTTTGATTTAGTTATCAATTTTAATTATCAATGCACAAAAAAGAAGGTAAGCATTAATAATATGGATTAGTACAGCCCGCGACAAAATTATAGCACACTTTGTATTTTTTTAAGAAAATTACGAAATTGACCAATTTTGACAAAAATTAAAATTGAACAATTTTGAACCCAATATAGCGAACTTTGCAAAAAAAGAACACCTGGCACACCCATCTCATTGATCAAGAAGCAGTAAATCTTTAGTTACTTTACTTATTATATCTACTTATGCATAATTACTTATTATTTAATAATAAGGTATTTAAATTTCAATATTAATATGTTTTTCATAAAACTATTGTTACACAATGTACTATTACTTTAATAAATGTTTAAAATCATAAAATAAATGTACAAACACAGTATCTAATAGTTTTATTTTAATTAACAGAAAATTACTTTTGTGGGGGTCGATGGAGATTTCGAAAAATTATGTAGGGGTCGATGATCAAAAAAGTTTGGCGACCCCTGCCTTACCCAAACTACATGCTTAATAAGTGTTAAAAATATTTTTATTTTAGTAGGCACGCATAAATTAAAATAAGACTACATCAATAAATTGGAAAGGTTCTTATTAAATAGCAAATTACTTTAAATAGCTTTTCAATCATTTACTCTTATTTCTTTTATTCCATTTCAAATATTAAATAATTATTTACATACATGCAAAACTCTTTAATTACTTCTCTGGTTAAAAGCTTCAATATGCATGAAATCAGGTTTAACAAGAAAATCACAATTTTGATAACAAAAGTACTAACTATCCTAAAAGGAAATGTTTCTTGATTTGAATGCATGCCTTGCAAATACTAATTTTCCTAGCTGCTTCATTCTTACTAGTTTTTATATCTTACCTATTTTAATTGCAACTGTAACATGGTGTTTAATGTTTTTAAAAAGTGCTTAAATTGGCCTATTTTCATTGAGTGTTTTTTTAAAAAAAATGCTTAATTTTCCAGTTTTGAAAAGATTTTTTCTTCTCTTTACCATGCCTATTTTTGGCATGTATTGTGAAAAAGCGCGCTTTTCACATTGTTCTATTCAACGTTTTCACAATTCATTTGACCACAGCCTATTTCGATGTACCGTCTGTCGGTAGCGTATGACAGCGCCAATCATTTTACATGTTTGATAAAATAGTCAAGTTTCATTTTCACTCTCTGAAATCGAACCAAAAAATCTCTTGATCATTTTATAATAGCATACATGCTAAGTCTCCTTTTTTTTAAACAAAGATTCTTATATTTTTTATTTCTCAACAGATAGTACTATTGCCAGCACACACAGTATGTTGAGTCTTAATAGTTTAAGTACCCCTTTCGGTCAGGCTATCTTGTATTCCTCCCAATACTTGATAGATCCAGGAATTGCATTGGGTTCATAAGACTGCAGAGTTTAACATGGGTAGACCCTAAATTGGATAGGCTGTTCGACAGTTATAAAATAAAATAGTCAAGAAGGAACATTGTAAATAGTGTGTTGCTGGATTTATTAAAGTAGCAGAGAATTTTTCTTTTGTAAAGAACTTAGCAGTAAACCCAAAATTGGGTTGGCTGTTTAACAACGGTTATAAAATAGTTTAAGATTTGTTCATATTTATTACTACGCTTATATTATTTCCAAATATGGATTTCTGTTTTTGATTTACACGATTGTGCGTGATGTATCAAAACAATGTTGGCAGATATGTAGTAGCTGATATTATTAAAAAATAAAAATAAAAAAAAAGAGTTCTTTGTCAGAAACTAGCTGTTTTATTGTGATCAACAGGCCTGAAAGCAAGACGGAAAAGAGAAAATACTGGTAGGAAAGCTATTTCAATATTTGATATCATTTGGGAGGAGTTAATGTATTTTCAACAATAAACAATTCACTTTAATTAACCTTTACTCGGCTGAAAAGCAATTCAATATAAAAATTGTATCCGTTAAAAACAATTGGTAATTAAAGAATTTTATTCTCAAAAAAAAAAATTTAGAATGAAATTTATTTGTTACCAGTTTTTACTCTTTTCCGTCTTGATATATATGGACTTTCAGTTAAGAGTTTGGGCTATCAAGTTAAGTCTGAAAATATTTTTTGTTGAAAGATTTGGCTATGTACCCTGTGTGACAGGTATAACAGATTTTTATGCTTTTTTTTTTCTTTCTCTTAGATGAATCGTATTATCAGATGCCAGTACTTGAAGTTGAAAGGAAAGCTGAGGAAAAATCCAGCTAAACCCAGACCTAAGAGATTCAGAGGAAAGAAAGGTGCCAAGAAGGCATAGTGTATATTCTTTGTGAAACATTATTAAAAAAGAGAAAAAAATAGCTTGTTTATTTACTCCTATATTTATAGTGCATTTCATGTATGCGGAGATAAAATAATTAGGCCATGACTCTTGTTTTGTTGAGGGGGGTGATGTTTCGATTTAAAGGCAAGAATTAATATTCTTTTTTAGAACGCAAGTGATGCATATTTTCTTAAGGTTTTTTTCATGTCTGAGGAGTCCATATTAATTGTTTAAGTGGTAAGCATTTTAAGTTGAGTAGCTCACATATGAATACATAGCGTTTTTGAAAAGTGCTTATTTTTGTTTTATAAAAGCCAAGGTAATTTTTTGTGGGGTGTTTTTAATAAGTGCTTGATTTTCCATTTTTAAATAGTAAGTTTTTTCTTTACCGTGTATATTTTTGTCATATATTATGCAAAAGCGTGTTTTCCACATTGTTCTATTCAACCACAATGCATTTCGACGTACTGTCGGTCTTTCGCATATGATAGCGCTAATCGTTTGAAGAAGTACTTGCAGTTCCGTATGTTCATCTACTGAGCTGGATTTGGTAAGATCCTTGCTCTCTCATGTGCAACTCTGCTGCATTCTGCAGGATATTTTCATTTTCCTACCTTCTGATGTCAAACTCTTCTGAAGCTCTTGATCATTTCATGTTAGCTAATATAATTTTAAAAAATGAGTTTTTTGTCAGAAACTAATTATTTTATCATGATCATGTAAAGTCTTAGAAAATTATTTTTCATTTTGTTAATGTATAAAGACGGGACAGGAATCGATCGGTTAATTTTTTTCTTCTGGTGACCGTGTGTAGCAATGCTCTTCTTCCCCCGCCACAGTTACAAAAACTGGATAAAATAACAAAAAGGTTATACATAGCTGCTGACGCTACTAGATTTACTAGTAGACTATGGTTTTTGCCAGTTTCTACTACATAGTTAGCTAAAAATTCTAGTTTTTGAAAATTTTCGAAAAATTTCTAAATTTAGTAAGTTTCTTAAGGAAAAATACTTATTGAAATAAAATTTTTTGCTTGCTTGGATATTTTAATAAATATTGCTAATGCATAATGAAGCAAGCCTAATTATTAGTAATCAATTTGGAGCTAAAATTTCTTTTTTTTTTCTTCAGATTTTCTTTTTTTAATTAATTTTTTAAGAAATAGCTTTTTCAAGAATTACTTGTCTATTAATATTAAAAATGAGTTAACATGATAAACATTTCTAGTTCATTTAATGTCAATCATAAACGTAAAATATTGCAAACCATTTATATAGTGTTATGAGTGATTAAGTTTTTGTATTCTGATAACCATAAAAATTCCTTGTGTGTAATATATTTAGAATATTGTGCATCAGTTATCGTGAGATTTATACTATTTCATAAAATCTAATGGATTTTTCCAATTCTTGTTTGCGGCTAGTCTATCTGTTACCGTTGATGACCGAGGACATGTAGAGACTGATTGTCCGAAATATTTGTTATATCCGATTTGATATTAATTTATTCGTTGATATTAATATGTTTATTTGATATCTGCTGAGGATCGATTAGGAGAAACCAAGCGTCTAATGTTTCATGCATATCGAGCATTGGCACGTAACTACAGCTAACACATATTTCGGACATATACCAACCAAAACGACTATGAGATTGTCAACAAAGTACTTGCAAGCTTAGGCTTTTAAAACGCATCAGTGTAGGATATTATACTTTGGCAAGCAGCATAAAAAGAAAAATGGCAATCTGCATTCAAGCTAAAGAACACCAGCAGAATTAGTCCCTTTTGCTTTTTATTTTTTTCATAGATATATTTTTTCATTATTCGTTTATTCTTATTATATCTCATGCTCTTTATATTTGTAAACAAACAATTCAAGATTGCGATAGTCACAGTTATTAATCATGTTGCAAACAATATCACAACTGAAATAATACCTAAAATTTAATGAATTGAAGAAAACGAAACAAAATTTAATAGCTAGCTGCAGACAAGAAAATGTGAACTAAGGGGTTGGGTCAGTTTCGCTCCGATTCAAAAAGTTTTTGTTTTAAAATGTTCAGCTAAATGCCTAGATTTCAAAAACATAAAAAGTAGAAATTTGATTTTTTTCACCTATTTGAAAGTTTTTTTTCGGCTTAACGGTTTTAAAATTTATGAATTATCAAAAAAACGTCCATCGTCAATTGAAATGCCAATTTTATTTTATAACCGTCGTTGAACAGTCGACTTAATTTTGGGTTTGTTCAACTACCTCGCCTTGTAATTTTGACCCAATTCAGAAAACAATAAAACTCTTGTATCAAGTATTGGGAGAAATTTGCCTCCGTAGAGGACTATTTTTGATGGGACTAATTTGCGTTACATGGGGACTCTAACCCATGACCATTGAGGATATTTTCGTCAGTACTGTGGTCGGTGCAAGCGTGTCGACCAGTCATAGCAGGAATTCGAACCCGGTTCACCTCATTGGAAGGCGAACGTTCTATTCCCTGAGCCACTACAGCTCATGTTAAAAATTTGTCGAAATTTCAGAAAATTTCTATATTTGAATTTAAAAAAAATTGCATTATGTAGCTATTCTTACTAATATATAAAAATCTCAATTTCTAATTTTTTGTTGCTTACATTTGATTTTCAATTGCATGGCAGGCAGTATTAGTTTCTCGATAACGGTATTTACAAGTCGCTTATTGCACCATCTGAAAATACTGGTTATCAATTGTTGAAAAAAAAATGTCACACGGTAAATAGTAAAAAAGGATTTTATTTGGGTAAAGGTTAGGTTTTTGAATGAAACAACGTAGAAGAGAAATTCAAATGATTTGAGATTTTAAAGATATAATTTAGGATAAGCCTCTATTTTTGTTTTTAAATACATCAGATAAGGCATTGTATCTTGTTTATCAAATTTATGAACACATACCTGATACGGCATGTAGTTTTGGTTCCAGAAATAAAAACCAATATGTTTTCAGTCTTCGAAATCTAGAAATATTTATTTTTCAGGATTGAAAATTTTCTTAAATTCTTTGTTGGTAAGTCATGCTAAAAAAATTATTTATTTTATTGGTAAGTTGTGTATTTCAAATGTATGAAGTCAATTGTGACTTATAATAATAGAGAGGTTTTGCTCAGACTATCTATTTATTCTCACAGTGCTTGCGTTAGGTATTCTACGTAAATAAGTTCCAAGGTATATCTGAAAGAACTGTGTATAATCTCGCTAATAATTTTTCAAATCCACTGTAAGTGTTCTCTGTTGTTAAAAAGAGATCTATTACAGTTCCTGGCCAAATTATTAGACGCACTATGACAGGGGTGGCGAGCCTTTATACACCAACGTGCCATTTTTTCCAAAAAATTGTTTAATGAGGTCATAGACGTGCCGTCAAATAATTTTGCCTTCGTGATTATTGGGAAAATAATAATGCTAAATACTATCAACTCAAAACTCTTTAATTACATTGAAAAAAAAAAATATTTTGCAATGTCTCAGTTATACGCGTAATTCCACTTAAAGTAACATCAGTGTGACTTCTGTTGTTGCAGATTAGATG